TGCAGCCAAATTCATGCTGAGAACCAGGCTCCTTGGGCAATTCGGGGCCGCAAACGAGGAAGAAATAAGTTAGGCGAAGCATTGAGGTCTTTGGGTACATAGCAAACAAAGAGGACCCGGGGAGCCCCGGATTCTCATGAATCTGAGAGGAGCCGAGCCCTCAAGAAAAGCACACACCATAGATGTAAATAGGTATCAAAAACTACCCCGGCGGCTTACAGCCGGAGGGGCAGTTTCCCGCATAGCCATGGATTAAGATTGGCTGGGACGGGTATGAGTTAATCCGAATCCGAATCCGAATCCGAATCCTTGGACCAATCAGGAGATTTATGCCATTATGTTTTAACGGCTTACGGAGCACGGAGTAAGAAAAAAGGTGCATATACCCTTAAGTCACTCACTACGCTCGTTCAAAAGAAATAATATGCTCTCGAAAGAAATTCTGGGATGGCGGAAATCAAGTGCTTAGCTTCAGATGGGAGTACGGACCTCCAAATTATGCTCCCGGCACTCCTAGCCTGTTAGGCGCGAAGGTTTCGGATGGCTTGCCAATGCTCCGCGGAAAATGAATCGCGATCAAACAGTTCAGTTGTAATGAGACGGCCCAGCCATGGTGAAGGAGTAATCCCCGCTGTCTTGGCACCGGCAACCTTCATCGGTGTGAGAAGGCCTGTAACAATACTCTGGGCAAGTTGGTGCAGCTTGTAATGTGTGCCATCCTGAATGATATCCTCGGCAAGGTGAAGCCTACCTTCTGATGGAAGGTACCTGAACGTCTCCTCAAGGAGCCCCACAGTGTTGTCGCTCGCATCCAAGGGCACGTAGCTGTTCAGTGTGGCGTGCATCCCCCGGCATCTCCATGAAAAGGGTGACATCTGTTGTCGCCCCACTTGAATCAGGGTAACTCGTAGCCTGATTGGGCTGCGTGCTCCGGTTATGAGCCATCTTTTGATTGTGAATCGAGCAGATAGTTATCGGAGATGAAGAAAGTGTGGAGAGATCTGCGGCGCTGGAGCAGTTGCAGCTTGACGTAGATGAAACGAATATGTATCTCTCAGAGACAAAACAACTTCAGTGGTCAAATGATGGACTGATGGGCCTAACTCTAGGCAGTATAGTATAGTATCCTTGGTGAGAATATAGCCGTCCAACTAGATTTCAAGAAGTACTGTTTGGTTTTGCATGGCATTAGAAACCCAAGTCGGAAATCACGCAGATATCCGCAGCCAACTGCGGAGACGCCCTCTTTGCGCCCGGTCGGCAGCCCTCGGGGTTTCCCAGCTCAGCTAGCCGGGGGACGTGCCCCGCGAGCCTGGTCCGGGTTCAGGCAAGCCGGCCGGCCGATGTCATGTGTATGCGTCACCTTTGTGCATTCTGGGGTTTGAGATGCCGTTGCGGAGGTCACTGGCGAGTGGCGAAATGGGGCGCGGCTGCTGACTGCACTGACGGTTTACAAGGTGTCTCGGGGTTAGTCCTGAGATGGATGTTGATTATTACTGAGCTGTTGCTGTCGAAGGGCAGTTTATCGCAGAAGCTCATAGGTAGACATTTAGTACACGCTGCTGCCAGGCCGCTTAGGCAGCATTCTCCGTTTAGGAGCAGAGGCAAAAGAACCACATCGGAGAATGAGAAAAGACAACTTGGTATCCAAAGGAACATTCATATTTCTTGTCTGGGGTATTTACTATGTATCTGCCAGCCGGGCACTTCTAACAGTCCTATCTAACAGCAGTATTAAGATGTCCACAAGAAAAGAATAAAAAAGGAAAAAGTGAAGAAAGAAAACATCCAGTCCAAGCATCATTATCACCTTCGTCACTGCTATAGCACGTCACCAAAGGGCTAACCCAGTCATGTCTCCCAGCAGCGTGTTGCGTCGCAAGGATGGCTTCAACTGAGTTACATATTTCGTTTTTCTGGTTTAAAAAACACACAGCTAGTGCTTTTCTTGCACCTCCTCGATCTCTTGGCCGTTGTCACTGCTGCTGAGGCCAAGCTCGTTCTTCTCAGGTGCGGAATGATCTGAGGTATCCAAGCCCAGCTCGCGAGACTGTTGAACGATCTGCTCGAAATCAAGCTTGGGCATGTCGTTGGCGACCTTGAATGCCATCTTCCCTTCGACATGGGCCCTGGCGTAGATGATGTCGATCTCCTCAAGCTCACGGCCAGCCGTCTCGACATAGAAGAAGTAGCCCAATACCAGACCGATAAAGTTAAACAGCGCGAAGAAGAGATAAAGGCCCCATCCACTCTCGTTAGCGAAAAGCGGCGTGAACATGACCACGGCGAAGTTGCAGATCCAGTTGGTGCAGGTCGACGCTGCGGCACCCACTGTACGGGTACGGAGGGGATTGATCTCCGGCGGATAGATCCAGGGCAGTGGCAAAAGAGTGAATGCAAAGAACGTGATGAAGAGGAAGATACCAACGGCAGCACCCTTGGAGTTCTCCTCATTTTCCTTGATCAAGCAAGCAAATGTGATGACAAAGCTGAGCCCCTGGCCCAGGAAACCGATCAAGTACAGGTTGCGACGGCCGACCCTTTCAATCATGAAGAAGGATGGGATGGTGGCAAGGGCATAAACGGTAGCGAAGATACCACCCATGATCATAGACAGGTATGCATCCATGCCCAGGTTATCCTTGAAAAGCAGCGTCGAGTAGTAGATGGCGGCGTTACAGCCGGTGAACTGTTGGAAGAACTGGCCGGAGCAACCAACGAGAAGGCGCTGGAATTCCTGGGTCTTGCCGAATGTGAAAACCGCCGTCCAGCTCGATTCCGAGGTCTTCGAGGATTCCACATCCGCCTTCATGAAGTTGAAGTCGGTAAGGACAGCATCGGAGTCAGGAGTGGTGTTCTTGAGCTTAGCGAGAACTTCGCAGGCCTCCCTGTCATATCCGTTCTTCACAAACCACCGCGGGGAATCCGGGAATACCAAGGCACCGGTGGCCACGATCAGAGCGAAGAAGATCTGGAGCGCTATGGGGAATCGCCACTGGACGGTATCCGTGGTGTGGGAGAGACCGAAGACCACCCAGTAGGCAACAAAGGTACCGACAGCGATCATTGCACCTTCAAAACAGACCAGGAAGCCACGGTTGTGAGCGTTGGAGCATTCCGACTGCCAGACGGGGATTGTGGCCGTGTTCATGCCGTTTCCGAGGCCCGATATAACACGGCCGATGACGAACTGACCGAGACCCCATTTATCACCAAAGGAGACCGTTGTAATCAAGGCACCAATGGTCAGGACATTGGCACCAGCAAAGATCAAGCGAGTGCGGCCGAGTTTCTCGCCAAAGAACATCGAGAACAGCGCGCCGAAGAAACAGCCGATCTCATAGCAGGCTGTGACAGCACCGCGAATGACGTTAATGTAGTGTTTTTGCGAATCCGTCGCTGGGTCGGGCATTTGGAGTATACTAAAGGATCTTGTAAACTCTTCGCCATCGATGAGGCCCGCCATCATGCCCTGATTGTAGCCGAAGAGCGAGAAACCCATGACGGCGGTGATGGTGATGCACACCCGGAGCGTCCGCCCTTTCAAGCCGCAGGTCGTTGTCCACATGTTGACAGTATGAGGACAAAGAATGAAACCACAAAAAGCATAGAGGAGAAGAGGAAAGAAGAAAGAGAGAGTGGATAGCTCCAGGACGGGAGCAATCTCTTATATGTTCTCCATATGCCCCCCATTACTTAGCGCGTGTCTTGGCCGGACCCAGAATCCAAGAAACTAAGGGTCGAAGGATTCGGCGGATGGCATCATGTAAGAATCACTAAGAGTTATTCTTGGTCGGTTAAAGTGCTACAACCAACAGTTGGTAAAGAAGCTGATTGGATTCGGAGGTGAAATGCATCAGGGACTCCGGGGAAGACCTCCCAACAACCACAGGACAAGAGCACACACACAAGAACACAGCCATGATTACAAACATGTGCGTGTGCACACATGGCAGCGCACGGAGGGCATTATGACTACTACTAGCCGGATGGGGACATGTGTTTCAAGCTTAAAACGGTGATTTCTCGGCTAACCTTCACTGGATGCGGCGGACTTGCTCTTGGCTTACCAGCGGGGGTAAACGCCCGGGAAACGCCCAGTAGATGCCCGGGGGACGGGCACTCCGAGTGATAAATGAGTCAGGCAGAAACACATTAATAATAATATGTCCCCTTTACAGCCTGAACATACATACGAGTAGTACTCCATACGAGTATTCCGTATATGATAATATACCCCGTATCTGTGAATAGTTCCAAATCCTGTCGGAAAGAGCCGGAGTCGGCAAAAGTAAAGCCTAGGGTCTGTGCCGTGCCGTATAGGAAGTGGTGATGATTGGTTAAACCAGGGCTATGTTGGTCGGACACTTGGCGGGAAAAGCCTTCGATGTCATGGGGCTCGGATGGGGGGTCCGGAATAGGAAAAAGAGGGACTAATTGTGTGGAGATTTCATCTCCCCTTGGTCTCTCCTCATCTCTCTCCGCTCCCCGGATTCGTCATCTATCCGAACCGCCAAGCCTGCCCAGACCCGCCAAGGTGCCAAGGTGCCAAGACGCCAAGTTGAAAGGATTTCCCCGCGCATTGCCACTTTGGGATATAGTAGCTCGTATAGTACACCCATGGCACATGCTCGTCGTGATTACTACTCTTATTCTCTCCTTGGCACTGCTTGTCTTCCCCGGTTCCGGCAGACTTCGCTTAGCCGCATGCTCTAAGCCGTATTCGCTTTAGCCGGGATTGTTGCCACAAATCCCGCATTATCTCCGTTAGCAATAGCCTTGGTTTCCGGTTGATTTCTCGATAGTTGTACTACATGTACTCATAATAATGAGCATGCACCGTTCAGCCTTTCCTCTGCGTGATCCTTGAGCTGTAGACATGATGATCAGCCTATTATTGCCAGGGCCATAAGCAATTAGAATAAGCAAGCCACCAAGTCCCAACAAATCCATCCACCTATTCATCTTCATTTCTAACCCACATCTCCCGCTTTGGTAGGAGAGGGCCATCCCGGTCGTCCGGAAACATCTGCGCAGAGTCGAAAACGATCCATAGCACCTATCTGCAGCGGCCATCACATCACATTCCTCGGCATCGGATCACCATGCAGGGCCCTTGCCTGGTGCATATCTTCCAGAATACGATGGAGAGTCTCCAGACGATCTTTGAGAAATCGGAGAGGTCTAGCTGCTGCATGCTGGGGATGTACATCAGGACCGCGTTGGAGGGTAGATTGCCTTCCAGAAACATGCCCAGACCGGAACATGCCCAGACCGGAACAAAGGCCGGTTGTGTTTTTGTACCTGTCCCATAGAACTCAGGGACGACTCCTCGGTTGCGGAGCCCTGGGCTTTTAGCCGCTGGCATGTAGTAGACTTGCGGATAAAAGGTTTGTTTCAGTCATGGGGCCCATTTGACCGAACTCTATCGTGGAAGTTGAGATTTCAAGCATATGTATCATCAATAAACGGGAGCTTACTATCCCTTTCATGCATGCCCTTGCGGATAGAAACCTTGAGGACAACCTAGTTCTATGAGCTTGTCAAGGAATGTCACGGAATGCCGTCACCAGTGCCAGCCAATCATGAGTCCAAGACTGTCTACTGCATATTTGGAAATAGACTCGTGAATAACTCAAGAACTATCGTACGCTCTATAAACATATACCAACTTTTATCAGAATGGCTACCGTTCAGTTACCGGCGCTTAGACTGTTTCAACATCTAACCGGCTGGAATTTGAGAGCGCTGCTTGTTGATGTAGATGCTATCCGGCCAACTCGTTAAATGGCCATCCTTCGATATCTGGTAGTATGAAGACACCCGGCTTTTCGATGGGTGCTTTCGGAGCAGATGTTTATTCTCGATCAGTAGATGTTGGCACTGTTAGATAACAATAAAACCGATGGCACTGTCTGGAGCTTTTTCTTCATCACCAAGAGCTCCACATGGCGCGCTCCTAATCGGGTTCCTCGTACGAGTTGAAAACGGCCAAACAATGTCTCGTCAATCGTATCGAGGGAGGTCAACCTCTTCTGATGGCACCAGTCTCTCCCGGGGCTAGCGATAATCCAAGCGCGAACAGATGGAATCCAGAATTCAGCATCACTCTTATCGAAGTGCATCGGCGGCGATGAAGAGGCTTTCCCTGAAACTTATTTCTCAAGATCATCCTCTGAATCCGGCACGACCAAACGATGTCTCTTTCTTAGAGCTGAACCGGGGACAGAATGCTCGTTTGAAATCTGGTGCCCTGTCCGGAGAAGGTCCAGGGATGTTTCCTGGCTTGGAAATGTCGCGTAATGCGGAAACATGAATGAATTTGCAGACCGTATGCGCGATGTGACACCCATAATCATGCACCGTCCCGATCAGCATCAGCATCCCGTTCAATGGCCCGCAATGCCCTATTTCCCAATTATAGCGCATTCTCTGCTGAGTTGGCCGGCGAGATGTTATGAGCATACGTTCGTAATTATCTTCCCTGTCTGGACACCGGGATCGATGTTGGTGTTGTATCGAGCACCGCTCCGACACTTCCACCAGTATGCTCCGGAGCATGCCAAGACAAGCACACTGAAAACACAGACAGCATTTGCAAACGCAATCCAATTGCAGCATGCATGCATATTAGCACCGATAAATTGTGATCATTTGAGATTGTGATGGTTTCCTGTACGCTACTGGAGCGTATCAGCACCAATACCATTGAGCTTTGAGAAGTCCACTTCTGAGAAGTCATGAGCAATAGTAGACATTCTGCAAAATGGGGCCTGATCTGAACTTAAGTTGATTCTAGTGATTTCAAAGAGAAGCCGTTGGTTTAAATACTGTCATGGACAAAGCAGCTGTTTATGGGCCACTTTCGTGGTCTTTCACGAAGATCGTTGTAGCCTAGAGCCCATGAGCAGAAGAAGGAATATTCGGTGCTGGCGTTTTAGTTTACCTTTATGGTTGTCATTGGGGTGGTACAGAGAAGGGATGTCCTGCGAGTTTATTTAGACATGCAGTTCGCATCACCTTGTGACATCCTTCTTCCACGTGCGGTACATGGATAGTCTGGTAGCAGTTTGTCCAAACAAGCCATTACACACTGCTGGGAGATGCGTAAAATTTCGATTCAAACTGGTTATACGCCCGGTATTTGTGCGCTGGCTTTAGGACTTTGGGCACCACCTGCCTACAATTTCTTAGCATTCGTCTAGTTATACTTGTAAAATGCACGCCTGCAGACGACAGAAAATATGACGATGGCCAAAGCCTTTCCCATTCATCTAAATATGGTAAATATAAACATATTTCATGATAGTGAAGTAAACCCACCCAGCCAAGTAATTTTGTGCCGTGTCCATTTCTATGAGTCCACAACAGCTCAATTTCATGACTGATTTCAGGTGCCTTAAGCCCTCCTTGTTAAGAATAGCAGATCAATAAAGGACCATTTATCAACCTCTGGCTTGGCAGGATCTTTTTCGTTCGAGTCAGTGAGCAGTTCTGCCTTTGACCCAGTGGACATCTGAAGACTATGGATTCTCTCAATGATATCGGCAGTCAAGAGTTATATTAAGTGACATTCGGCATTTTCCATCTCAGACTGACCCTATTGCCTGTTGACTATACAAAATCGAAAGTGGTCGGGGATTCGAAACCAAGGCACCATCGACCAATCGACACAGGCAACCGAACCATTTGGGCGAAAGTGATGCGCAGCTCTTGTCAAGACATTTGTTCAACATATTGCAAAGGCCTACGAGTCTGCATCTACTCTGAGCGCTCTAAGCAGATAGGCCGTGCTTAACATTGAGCACGACGAATCAGTAGACTCGGACCCGACGTGAACATGGCCCACCAACAAAAGTATTATTTTTGGCACATTGGCTGCTTTCTTGCGGTATGAAGTACTTAGCAGTGGGAATGGAAAACATTCCTTTATCATTCTGGAGGAGAGAAGTGAGCTGGAGGCATCGCGAACCATTGTCAATAAGAGCGGCACAGGCTTTAAATCTTGAAGAATCTGGACGAGCTACAGGGGAACAATGTTAACGGAGAAAAGCTGGTTTACACGTTGTGATTTGCTTTCCCACTGCTCATTATGAAGCGAGATCTCTCATATCGTGCTCAGAGGGAAATTCAGGAGTCGATTACTCCGGACTAACGATGTCTACATGGAGAGCCCGAGAGGACTAGCTTAACGAAGCGGTATATTGCCTAATGAACGTATGTATGCATATGCATTGAGTGCTTGACTAGCTATATTGCCACAGCCTGGCTTCCCTCGTATCGTACCTAGGGTTCTAGTTAGTTGTATTTCGAGACAGGACACTTACCCTAAGTGTCTTTCAAACAGCCGTATGCTCAATGCCCCTCCGGTTCCGGTTCAGTAAGTCGTATGCGTCGATGGGTATATCGCCGCCTCCAGGCTCCGTAAGGTAATCAACAAGTAGAAACGATAAAGGTAATGAATAGAAAAACAAGGCCAACCGAGTACGTATACTGGGTTGTTGGTTAAGTGCGGACGAGTCAGAAACTAGAAGGTAACCAATGCTGGATGACTTGAATTGATCGCGAAGGACTAAGCTGAGTACATGAATGAGCGTCCTTATATACCTTTCCATCATGTTAGCTGGTAGTTGGTTCGGTAGTAACTTGGTAGTGAACATGGTAGTAACAACTACCAAGATCCTCCCATACGACTACCCGTATTACTGATGAAAGTTGAAACGGATAGGCCAATAGGGCGGTTAAACTCCGAGTCGGGGAAGTCGGGGAGTCGATTATCCGGACTGCACGAGGCTATATATGAAGAGGAAATTTAGATTACACGGAGGGTGACATTGATACCTATAGACACCATAGATGGTAGGATGAGTGCTTGGCTATCTAAACGGGTGTGTCCGTATATGAGGGATCTGTCGGCCCGATTACTGAAAGCGGCCTGGTTACCGAAAACGGAAAAATCCTTGTATATAAATAAGGATATCATAGCCATACGCTTCAGATGACTAAGCACTCATTCTATTGTCAAGGTATCTATAGATCTCAATATCACACTCGTCGTCATATAGCCTTCTACAGTCCGGATTATCGACTTCCTGATTCCCGATCCTGAGCTACCCGCTCCCTTTCAATTACTACTGTCGGAATATAGAGGTTCCTTACCGAACAATACCAACTGATGCCGGATTGGTGCCTCGCTGATATCATATGGCGCAAGCAGCTTATTTACTCCTCTGCCATTACTGCTTTTGAAACCGCACAATCGTTTAGTATACTCTATAAGGTAGTCAACGGTCTTATATAGGATCCTAGATAGCTCCCTTTTGCAAGAATCAGAGTCCTCAACCTTATACGCTCGATACATACTTTCGACCCTGACTGAGCTGTAATTCCGACACTTTGTTCTGTATCACATGATTTGGATTAGTACTGCCTGTTTCTTGGACTACTAATGCAAATAGCCAAGTAACTGTTGCTAACTCAACTAGTCAACATATAAGTTGGTGATATGAGAGATTGGCGTTGGTGGTGGACGCAGCTTTTATTCGACTTCGTGGTAAAATACATATTTCGGCCAGTTGTTACAAACGGAGTGCAGTGACAGCGCACGTAGTGTAAAAGCATTTGCTAGTCATGCGTTAGTTCGGGCCCATATACTCGAGATTGTCTATATTCTCGCTTTAGGTCGTAGAGGCACTCATACCAACACAACCATAGTATTCTGATACATACAGGAACAGTCAATCCTAATAGCAGTGTCCAAAGTTGAAAGTAACAGCGAAATGCTATAGTACACGCCATATTTTTCCATGATCCAAATACGATTATACCCAGCCATGCTAGTATTGGTAGGTGCTTTTCGTCATAACCCTGGAAAAGTGATGGACTGCACCATTGTCCCACCAAGCCTCAAACTCATGCCGCTGCATATCTTGCGTGGCAGAATTATGCGTATTTCTAATGGTAGTGTAGCGGCTGCAGACCCAGACGCGATGACACTTCATCTGATATGACCCGGGAGGCGGCAGTAGTGCGCAGGCACATCTGTAGATAAATCCCCTACCATACGATTGCCGTGCTTGTAGAAGCAGGCATTTTTCAAGAATGTCTGCTTTAGTATTTATAAATGTTGAAACCTTCCTGGTAGAGATTAATGGGGCAGAAACGAACCAGCCCGACGAGACAAACCTGGCGCGGGGACATGGGAGATCCCAAACAAGGCTCCTGATGGACACCCATGGGGGCAATGGTAATACTCTCCCGCGGTTCCTATTTCAGCATCTGGGTTGAGTTAGTGTTGTTGCTTGCATGTCATAGTCGATTTCCCACTAGATCCTCGATATCATTATGACTCTATCATTGGCTATGTTAGGCTACTTCACACAATATTTTTGCGATTAAGTTCATAGCACCCGCGGGTTACCCGTCGTGTTACCCGTGGGCGGATGGAAAGTCATCTATGTCACTTATTGCTCACCAGCGAAGTATGCAGATAATACTAGGTGGAACATTCGGTATCCCCGAAGAGTCGATTCGTCAGGCTCGTAAGTATACACTCCGGAGTATGTGCAAGTTGCCTGGAAGGGCCGGAGATATACGATATCAATCAGATCTTATCAGATGCGACCGTGGGAAGCGATACGCCGCACAAATTAGAACCTCGGTCTCCTAGTCCATCCGAGAGTCCGAGAGAGAGCTGCATCCCACGGCCCCCATGTCTATCTACCCATGTCTTCCAATCACCGCTTCATATCCTTCCAACGCATGTCGAATTCTCGCCCAACCAAATTAAGAACAACCCCTTAGCGACGCGTGGGATTGTCATCTTTTTTCCGATGACACTAAGCGCCATCGCTTGCCCCGGCTTCCGTCAGATTTTTTTAGTTCTTATTTCAACCTCTTTCACTCTCGGAGAGTCGGATCGCGTTCAGTGAGAAGAGATCGATCATGGGTGTCCTTGATTTGGTTCGAGGTCGTAACAACACCAGTGTGACATCTGATCTTGTGGTCACGGAGGATCAGCAGCACACGGAAAAAAGCCCACCGCAGAATCCAGACAGTGACCCCAATGACCGGTCAAGTTTGGAGGCCCGGGCGGAGAGAGAAATCGAGCTGCACCCAGACCAGGTTACCGAGGGCGCTGAATTAGGTGTGCAAAAAGCTGAAGCTGCTGCGTTGGTATGGAGTAAAAAGGCACTCATTGGTATTTATGCATGGTGAGTCTTTTCTTCGTTTCTACTGCTCCTGTCTGGCGTACCATGAGACATGGCTTAATTTCCATGTGCCAAGTATAGGATCTGGGTGTCGTTCTTTATGTTGGCCCTGCAGTTCTCGATCGGTGGTATAGCCCAAGTCAGAGCCTATGCCGGTTTCCAGGCCGCCCCTGCAGTTGGCACTGCCAACATCCTGTCGACTGTAATCGGTGGTATAATCAAGCTGCCTGTCGCCAAAACCCTGAATCTCTGGGGCCGCGCCGAGGGCTTGTGCGCCTCCGTCACGGTATACATTGTAGGTATGATTATCTTGGCTGCCTGCGATGGTCCTTCCTCCTATGCAGCTGGATATGTCCTCTTCTTGGTGGGATATGATGCGATCTATCTCATTTTGCAAATCTTCGTTGCCGACACGTCTGGTCTGCGGAACCGAGCCTTTACTCTTGCCTTTGCCTCCACGCCCTTTATCTGCACTGCGTTTACTGGGCCGCTAGCGGGGAACTCCTTTGTAGAGCGCACAGGTGGATGGCGCTGGGCTTATGGTGCGTTCTGCATCATCATGCCTTTTGTCTTCCTGCCTCTTGGTATCGCGTTCAAGTACTACGAGAAGAAGGGAATGAAACTGGGCATATACACGCAAGAGCGTAGCGGTCGGACCGTTATGCAGTCAATCGTGCATTATTGGCATCAATTTGATGGTATGCAGTATCTTTCGTCTTTGATTCAGGGAAAAAAAAAAAAAAAAAAGGAAATACTAACGTGATCAGTTGTCGGTGCTTTGATATTGATGGCTGGCTGGGTCCTCCTTCTCCTGCCATTCAGTTTGACAAGTGCCGGACGAGCCGGTTATGATAGTGCTACTTTCATCGCCATGATTGTCGTTGGATTCTGCACTTTACTCTTATTTGCTGTTTGGGAAAAGTTCTTTGCCCGGACACACTTTATCGATTATGAGTTACTCAAGAAGCGCACTGTCCTGGGTGCCTGCGTCTGCTCGCTTGTCCTGAACTTCAGCTTTGAATGCTGGGATTTATATTTCCTCAACTTCTGCATGGTTGTGTATGACCTAGATTCGGCCATGGCCGGCTACATGACGCAGATTTACAACGTGGGCTCCTGCTTCTGGGGTGTTGTCGTCGGTGTTTGGATCCGCTGGACCAAGCACTTCAAGTACACTTGCCTGTGCTTTGGTCTCCCACTCTTGATCCTGGGCGCCGGTTTACTGATCAAGTTCCGCGGCGAGGGTGGAGGTGATCTCAACTATGTCATCATGTGCCAGATCTTCATCGCTTTCGGTGGTGGCACCTTGGTCATCGGTAACGAGATGGGTGTCATGGCCTCTGCTGACCGTGGCGGCGTGCCTATGATGCTCTCTCTTATTGGCCTCTTCAGTAGCCTGGGCAATTCCATGGGTGCTGCTGTCCAGACAGCCATCTACAACAACGTCTTTGTTGATACATTGCAGGCAGCCCTGCCGGAGGACATGAAGTCACAGGCGCAGCAAATATCCGTTGATGGTTATTTGGTTCAGCAGACATACCCTCTGGGATCTACTGAGCGCAACGCCGTCAACCACGCCTGGGGGGCTAGCCAGAAATATGGCGCTATTGCTGCCACTGCGATCCTAGCGCTGGGGATCCCCGCTATCGGTATTTGGAAGAACTACCGGGTTACCAAGCAGCAGAATAAGGGTGTCATGCTGTAAGGGTTTTTGCCATCTTGGGGTGTAATGGGAGATAATCTTTGGATATAGAGAGCATATGGGTGGATATAGATGGATAAGGGATGTATATGTATGTCTTTATACAATGTTAATAAAATGCGTGTATAGCCAAGCCGTAATGGGAGCTGCCGCGCTAGCTGTTTTCAGCACTGCGTCGTCTGACATCTCTCATCGCCGCGTCCATTTTTCTTATATCTGCTACCTTCTACCCTTATTCGAAAAGATAGATCGGTTGCTGTAGTTTATATTGCCATGTCCGACTCCGCCGTCCCTATACAAGGCGGCATCCTCGAAGGAGGAAACCCCTCGCATTACGATGAAAAGAATCCCATCGTCATCTTCATCATCCAGGTGAGTCCGGACTAACCAGGGCCATGGCGCTCCCCGCCAACCTCGCTAGGCTTCTATAATCATTATCTTCTGTCGGCTGCTACACTGGCCCCTCTCCAAAATCCGTCAGCCGCGAGTCATCGCCGAAGTCATCGCCGGCGTGCTGCTGGGCCCCTCTGTCTTTGGTCGCATCCCCGGCTTTACAGATGCCGTCTTCCCAGAAGCCTCGATTCCCAACCTCAATCTCGTCGCGAACCTGGGGCTGATTCTATTTCTCTTCCTTGTCGGCCTCGAGACCGACCTGCGCTTCCTCATCAGCAATTGGCGTGTAGCGGTCAGCGTCTCGGCGGCCGGCATGATCTTACCTTTTGGCCTTGGAAGCGCTATCTCGTATGGTCTGTATAATTCCTTTCGCGACGAACCGGACACCGTCCAAATCAACTTTGGCACTTACCTGCTGTTCATTAGTATCGCCATGGCCATCACGGTACAACCCTCCACCACTGCTCCCCCTCCCAGTCATGTGCACTGACCTGTTCAGGCATTTCTGGTGCTCTGTCGTATTTTGACCGAGCTAAAACTCCTGGGAACCAATGTCGGTGTGATTGTGCTCTCCGCCGGTGTAGGAAATGACGTCGTCGGCTGGATTCTGCTGGCTCTTTGCGTCGCGCTGGTCAATGCCGGAACCGGACTGACTGCTCTCTGGGTGCTGCTCGTCTGTGTTGGTTATGTCTTGTTTCTATCGCTCGTTTTTCGGCCTGTGTTTATGCGTTTCCTGAAAAGGACAGGGAGCTTGACCAAGGGTCCCAGCCAGTCGGTCGTAGCGCTCACTTTACTCATTGCCCTGGCCTCGTCCTTCTTCACTCAAGTGATCGGCGTGCATGCCATTTTTGGCGGGTTTTTGATTGGCCTTCTCTGTCCGCACGAGGGCGGCTTTTCCATCAAGCTAACTGAGAAGATTGAAGATCTGGTGGCCGCTTTGTTCCTGCCGTTGTACTTTACGCTTTCTGGTCTGCAGACCAATCTGGGATTGCTCGACAACGGGACCGTTTGGGGATATGTCGTGGGGATTATTGCAATTGCGTTTATCGCCAAAGTGGCGGGGGGTGCTTTGGCGTCCAGACTGTGTGGTCTCCTCTGGCGCGAAAGCTTCTCCATTGGAGTTCTGATGAGCTGTAAAGGATTAGTCGAGTTGATTGTCTTGGTATGACTGACCCACAATTGCTCCAGGCTTGAATTCCGCTAACCATCCTGCAGAACATTGGATTACAAGCGCACATTCTCAGCACCCGCACTTTTACCATGTTTGTTGTCATGGCTCTCGTGACTACCTTCGCAACCACCCCATTGACCACGTTGCTTTACCCCAAGTGGTACCAGATTAAGGTTGGGCGCTGGCGCCGTGGAGAGATTGACTGGAACAGTAACTCGCCGCAGGATGCCAGCCGTCATGACAGTGTGGCCGTCGCAAAAGGCCAGCTAAAAACCAATGCCGTGCGCAAGCTGCTTGTGTATCTGCGACTGGACGGACTATCCAGCGTCTGTACACTGGCAGCCCTACTCAGCCCCAACGATCAGCCGCCCGCGCCAAAGGTCCACCCCGAAAAGAGGAAGCAGGTGGCATCATCACCGGAGCCCGCAGCCGAAAAATCCCCCGCGACAGAGGAGGAAACGCCTAAGCTCCAGGTACACGGTGTGCGACTGATGGAACTCACGGACCGAGACTCCAGCGTCATGAAAGTATCGGAGATTGACGAATACACCCTCTGGGACCCTGTTGTTAATACCTTCCGTGCCTTCGGCCAGTGGCACAACCTCTCTATCATGGCAGGAGTGTCAGTCGTGCCAGAGCACTCATACGCCGACACGGTTGTGGGCATGGCGCAACAGGAATCAACCGACCTGCTACTACTCCCATGGAGCGAGACGGGATCGATGAGCGAGCACCAGAGCGGGCTGGAAATCGACGAAGCCAACCGGTTTGCCAACGGGCCCTTTACGGAATTTGTGTCATGCGTCCTGGACCAGACAACATGTAACGTGGGTGTTCTCATTGAGCGGACTATGTACCGGAAGCCACCAGGTCAGCAATCACTCGGAGGGATGAGCGTTTGGAGCTCCGTGTGGCCAGCCACGCGGTCGCATCATATCATGCTACCGTTCGTAGGCGGCGAGGATGACCGGTACGCGCTGCGCTTTGTCCTGCAGCTCGCAAAGAACGACCAAGTTACCGCCACGATCGTCCACCTTGACATAGCCATACGAGCACCAGCGGGGGACGATTCCGCTGGACAATCCTCATCCTCACCCGTGCAACAGAAAACCCAAACCAGAGAATCTGATTCAGACATAGCATTCTTCAATACAATGCGGGATTCCCTTCCCGATGCCCTTACATCGCGTGTCATCTTCAAGCGTATAACCCCCAAGAAACCCGCCCCAGACCCAGTCACATTGGCAACCACCACCGTCCAAGACGAAATGGCCCAGTCTCCTCATCAGGCAGGAAATATGGTAGTCGTCGGCCGGCGCAACAACCTTCTGGACGAGACGCCATTGCAGGAAGAAGTCGGCGAGAACAATGTAACACTGGCACTAGGTGCGATAGGGCAGGGAATGGTGCGGAGTGAGGCGCGCGTGGGCAATATTTTAGTCCTTCAGGCTGGGCGTCCAGCGTGATCTACGGGTCAGGCCTGGTTAAGATTTATGCCAAATGTCTAAAGCAGCTTTACAGCGTTGAGCCAGAATGAACCGCAGCTCTTTACAAACCCTGCCATCTGGGCTATACTATGACGAATGCGATTTTCACGCTCCACTCATGCCGGATTGACTACATCACAATACATTTTTAAAAATAGCATAAGCCCCAGATAGCTTCGATTATCCCAGAACAGCCAACCCGTCAGAGCAAAACTCCCCATACCGTCAGGCACATCGCCATCCCTTGAGAAGGTACATGGCAATGCAGCAAAATACCTGATCTGATACCTCTTGCTACTCACTTCCCTAGTTCTGGGCAGCGGCTAGCTCAGCAGATCGACTATCCAACTCCACCCTTATGCAATGCCTTTCCGTTCAAATTCGGCTTCGTCACACCTTATTTTGACCAAAAACCCTTTACTTTGATATCTGATGCCCTGTCCGGATGACGAGAAGCCAGGGGATGTTTCCTGGATTGGAAATACTGTGTTGCATAAAAAAAAGCAGATATGATTACACCCAGTGGCTTGAATGTATTTCGAATCCATTTTTGTTCCGCAGCCCAGTGTGTACTGGGGACAGCTATACACAATGGACGGTAGGCATTTTGTGAAATTGAGAACCTGATTTGTCAGTAAACCCGATCCCATCGATTTCAGTGAGCAATCACATTCTGATCCAAAGGACTGGCGTGGGCAAAGCAGTTTCTTGGTTTTGGTGATCTTTTCACAAAACTGGATGTGGGTTTCAGACCATAGCAAGAGTTGCCGTTCCAATTGAATCCATGATTATAGCTGCCTCCCGATCTGTTTCAAGTGGTTGGATTTCCTCGCTGTCTTGCTGGAGTTCTTCGCGAAAATACTTCGGCCGGTCGATGAAAGACATTTCAAGCTCATTCGTGTAGGGTGGCGATCGTTCCTTGGGAGCCTTTTCTATTCAGACACAATATGACCATACTGGTGTGAGCAATAGTAGACCTCGACGAGAGAGGATCTGGGGCCAAGCAGGTAGGAATAGAGGAAATGATGCCGAGAAGCTACAAGTCTCATCGTAGTAATGAGCGTAAAGAGCGTAGTGAGCGCACACCAATCAGATATCCAGACCTCCATGCCTGAGTGGTCTATATTACAGTCGCCATACCTACCTCTCAGAGCAGCATTAACCACAGCCTCTTCTACGGGGATGCGATTAAAAGCATTCTCTACAGAATACGGCGTACTATGGAAACAGTTTCCTTGTCAGACAATGACGTACTCTCATACCACTACCGAGTTCAGACCCTGTCGCCTAGATCTCCCTTTCCGTACGAAACACTCTATAATATTCAAACAAAGGCTAACAATCCCACCCGACGGCTAAACATCGGCACCAACATGCCACCAGGCCTTCGGAAACCGTCAAAGGAATGCTCTCGCGTGGGAGATTAACTCTAACTCTCGTCCCCGGGTTACACAGTCGGCCCGTGTCTAACTCAATTTGCACGGAGAGGGAAAGTAACTGGATCATCTGCCGAGAGAGGTAACGAATTTTCACAGAGTCGGACAGTAGTCCGCTTCTTTCGGGCATAGATTGTGGACGGAAAATGGATACAGTGAGGGACCGTGGCCGGTGGATGACGGTAGGAAAAGGTGAGAGATGCGGAATAGGCCGATTCCACGAGCGTCGGGTATGAGGGTCTTTGTCTGGAGAACCCTGTCAGGTGCTATGTGGAGTGATGTCGGAGAAAAAGCGAGAATATGGAGAAGTGGGATTGGATGCAGAATACGGGGAAATTCCGGGTTCATGCGGGGAGCTGGAGTGCATTGAGTGCGCTTAATCCCGGCCGATATAGGCGTGGCTAAATCTCGGCACCTCCAGTTGTGTTTCCGGGTGAATTCCGGATGGTATTGAGGTATATACCGGAGAGTGGTGTGTGATGTGAGCAATCGCCGTTGTAGAGATGTATGAGTGCTATGGGTGTACTCAATAACAGTGCATATACAGTCCGGTGGAGTGTAGCGTCAATTTAGCCGAATACGGTAATTGGCTCGGACCATGCAAACCAGAACGCAGTATTTGGATGATCGCATTTAGCTTGACCAGATTGTATTTGTCCAAACAGAATCTCCCCACATCTAACTAATCGTCCGATTGAGTCAATCGAATTGAATTGTCAGGTGATGTTCGTGCCGAGACTGTACCACGGTACTGCAAGGACAAGCCGTTGTGTGTCCCGGGGTGCTACCTTTGATCATTGATCCGGTGCAGGTTCAAGAATGTATTTGAGCCGAATATCTGCCGGAAATTACTGCTGAGTTCTTGGCCGTAACTTGGATATGAATAGAACGCTGTGAGGGATGAGACAGGAATGATTATGATAGGGATGTACTTGATACAATGAAACATCTTATGCTGTTTACTGTGTTCAAATATCTGTGCTGTCTGTAGTGTAGTGCTCTAAGAACTGTAGTAAGAACCGTGATGTACAAGTAATACCGGGATAAAAACCGGGGATCCCCTGATCTGTAATCACCCCACAACAGTCTAACATGGATGTTCTTCTGGGAGGTAAACAGTTTGTATCCCCTCAAACAGCTCAGACCCCCCCCCCCCCCCCCCCCCCCCCCCC